AAAATCCTCCTTTAAAAGTCAACCTCATCATTGCATGACACACTCAAGTGGGTCACCTTGCCAGTAGGGTAATTGCATGATTGTTTGACAATACTTGAGCCCTGATAATGGCCATTTGACTACAAATCTCAACTGAAAGGAACTTTATTTCTAAAATACCCCTAAATCTCAAAATAAATTATAAAGGAACTCAAATTTCAAAAATATTAAAATCCAAATTTTTATAAACACTAAAAATATTCAACCATTAATCCACCCCCAAAGCTTAAAGTAATAATTCATCCACTCTCCACAATAATTGGACATGAGTGAAAATTTCAAAATTAAACTCAGCTCATAAAGTGCTAATGTCATATCCAGCATATTACCATGATCATTCTCAAAAGATCTCGCACTAATGATGACGTAACACATGTCCTCTAATCGGTGATTTTGTCATCAAATGGCACCACAAAACAACGGCTACGATCGGGGCCCTTTAATTGAATGGTTTCGCTGCAAAATGGCACTACAAAATAACGTTTATGACCAGGGCCCCCTCTGACCAAGTGATTTCACTACAAAATGACACAATTATATTGTAGTCACGGTCATATCCAAAATCATTGCTTTGAAAACCGCACCAGACCGGCTAGTTTAATCGTTCTATACATGAAAGGAGGCCTAGATGGTGTGTAAGGTAACTGGTGATTCCTAGCTCGATCTAGGGTGTCAAATCATTACGTCTTCTGGCGACGGAGCTCAACAATATCAGCTTGATTCTCCCTAAGTTGTTGATTGATTGTGCTCATCTAACCTACCAGTAGGTCTAAGATCCTATGAATTTGTTCGGGGTCCATCCTATGTCTAAGAGATGACTCAGGGCTATGCAAATAGGAAGAAACAATATGATGATGACACAAGCAAGTGAGGTGATGCATGTTGGATGTGATTTAGATGCTAACACATGAAATAAAGAAATTCTAATATGCACCTAAATACAATCATTCTCTGATACCAAATGATGTAGAACCAGATATGCAAATGATGTTTAGTTGGAAATTACATGTGCTTGAACGGAACTTAACAATTTATTAACTCACAATGAGCTTAAGCAATTACTTTAGCATGCAAGGGGGGAAATCAAGTTTAAGCAAACAATCGCATGCTAATAGGAGGAATATTAAACAATAGATTAACTAATAACATGCTCACATTGTGTTTCAGAGAAAATCCCTAAGTTAACAAATATAGTAGTCACTAAAAAGGCCCACTCACACAACGCTCTCGGTGTGGACTAAGCGAATAAGCTTTCACAATAAAATGATGCTACAATTAAGGAATCCAAAAGGTACCAGGGAGGAGAGTTTGGTTGTATAAGTGGAAAGGACAGCAACACGAACCCCTCTCGCACGTCAGGACAGCAATCTAACCTCTCCGGAAATTCTGGGCAGCAACTAAGTGGGCGCCAAATCTTGGGACGGCTAGTAAAGGGGCTGGAAAACGGATTGACTCTGTATTTCAGCAACAGGCGGCTGTCTTTCGGATTATTTGAGAGGTAAAACAGCAAGCACAATTTATAAAGGAAATAGCAATTAAGGAAGATGGGCTATGGAAGGGGGCCGGCAAGCACTAATTGATTGGGGGCTGATTTTGGGACATTAGTGGAGTTGTCAACTATAGCCTCCTGATTAAGGAAAGAGGAATTAATTAAGATCTCCAATTAATATTCAAATTGGATGATTGGGATATCTTTCCAAACGTAGCCCAACAATTTAGGAAAGGACTTCAAACTTTAGAAGATTTCGAATTTAAATTCAGACTTTCCAAAATTAAAGCTAGGATAATTTAGGAAAACGAATTAATCAAGATCTCCAATTAATATTCATATTTGGTGATTGGGATATCTTTCCAAACATAACCTAACAATTTAGGAAAGGACTTCAATGCTTTTAGGAAGTTTCAAATCTGAATCCAAACTTTCCAAAATTAACATTAAGCTAATTTAGGAAAATGTTGGAGGATCAATTTGAAAGAGGTTAATGGGATATCTTTCCAAACATAATCCCATCAATTTACGAAAGGATTTCAAGATTTTTAAAAGATTTCAAATATGAATTCAGACTTTTCAAAATTAACACTTAGTTAATTTAGGAAAATGTTGGAGAATCAATTTGAAATTGTAGGGGGAAAAAAGTGGGGGTCATGAGGGTTTTGGCCATGGGCAAAAGGAGGTGGCTAGCAGTTATGAGGAGGAGAGGTTGTGAATGGACGGCCAAGGGAAGATATGGGAATTATGGCTCTGCTAAGCTTGGATGTGAGGAGGTAGAGCTTGGTCAAGGCTAGGAGGAGAAGGGAGGGGTCGGTTGGAGCTTTGGGAAGAGATGAAGGTGGCAGTGAGCTCAATGGGGGTGGAGGTGGAGATAAACCATGAGATCAGATGCTTCCTGCGGCTAACGGGTCTTGCTTTTCCCTCACCTAGGGACTTTACATAAGCTTTCACAAGAACTCTCACGGCTCTCAAACACACCAAGACACAAAGTGCAGAAATTTTCATTTATCATAATCTTCATCCCTCCCAAGGCGGATGTGAGGTCTATAAATAGACAATAAAATAAAACATCAAATGACAAAAGTGATCCCTAGGGTCATATGAACCTACTTCCTCAAGTGAAGGTAAAAACGAAAAATTACACATAATAAATCAAATACAAATAAATGCTCATAAATAGAGTAATTCGATCATAGCCTAGGTTTCAGGCCCTTCCACAGATAAACTTTTCACGGCTGGATGTCCTCATCAAATAAAAAATTCTCAATATCAAAAAAAGTAATTAATTGAAGGGACTTACGCCTATGAAAAAATTTTGGAACTAGATCGCAAAGTCCTGACAAATAAGGGCAAAATATATAGATAGGGTCTTATCTGCAATAAAATATGCTTTCCAAAAATTCGACCCGAACAACTCTCTTAAAAGAGCCTAGCATGGATTTTTGGAACCCACAAGTTTATTTAGTAATAACATCTATGCAATCCTTTATAACATGGGAACAATAGCTAGAACCAAGGGCCCTTCCCTTCAACTGCTGCCCTTTGGATATATATATTAAATTTTGGTTAAAATAGTAAACTTGTAAAAAGTTTAGAGCATTCCAAAAGCCAGTTTAAACTCCATTTTGCATTCCAATGTAGGTTGCTATGAACTTTTAAGAAATGAAATTAAAATGCATTTTATTCTAAGTGTTTCGAAACCATGCATAGCCATGCCAAAAGAAACAACAACGGTATGCAAGTAACTAGGCCACCAGCTCATTAAAGTTGTGAAAGATATAAAACATGGAATAAACATCTCAAACAGACTTCAAGATGAAATTTAAGAAATCCCCTAGCCCAATTTAGCTCTATATTCAATTTAATACCTTTGGAGAAAAATAAGAAAGAGTTACTATACATTTTAGATTATCATTAACTATTTAAATATTCAACATCTCTCAAACTAATTCTTGGAAATATCTTTTAAAACAAACCAATTGTTTCATTGATTGCTGATGCAGGACAACTCCAGGAAGGTTTCTCGTATTACTAGGATGTTGCGTAGTAAACTTTCATTCAAAAAAATTTGATATCAATCCGAAAATTCACATTCTTTTAATGAAAACATCCGATAGTCTTTAAACCCATTTGATAATGAAATGATAGTAAATATCCAAGAAATAGCAACTATAATTTTAAAATAAAAAAAATGCCAATTAGTTTTAAAAAATTAGATTTTTAACGTAGCAAATTTTTTTCTAAAATCAACAATACTAACTAAACCAATAACAAATTATGAAGAAGAAATAAAGAAGAAACAAAGCTAAATAAAAAAAAAATCAAGCCTCACGCCAGCACGAAGAGATGATTTCCCACAGAATAAGGTTAATATAAAATATGCTTGATATTGTGCCAACCGTACTTGCATTGTGCTCAAAGGAATTCCGCATCCAACTTGCACTCGTAAGATTAAAAACTCAAAAAAATGTATACTAGTCAAAAGTCATGGATAACGTGTCATTTACCATTTATAAACCACGCATATTTTATATTACTATATAAGATTGGCACAATATCAAGCTCAAACTAAGTTTGAATTAACCTAAAGTCCTCAAAACATTTGGTTTAGTGATACAACTTTATTTGAAAAGCACCAACCCAACCTAAATCCATCAATATCATCAATCCCATACTCGGTGGTAAAGCGGCATAAATGTAAATAATGTACACTAATGTCGCACAAAAAGCGCCTAGGAGCCAAACCCCCAAAGGACTTGAGCAATAATGCCGCAAACACCAATCTTGTGTTGATGTCGCATGAAAAACACCAAGCAGTCGAACTCTCAAAAGGACCAGCAACAAGAGAGAGAGAGCGCATCACTAACCCTGGTCGAGACAAGATGATTCTCCAATCAAGGCCTTTGCAACATAGAAAAAGGTAAGACATAAACCATCTATACCACAAATTCCATCAATGATCCTTACCACAATTTGATGTTCCCAACCATCATGGAAACAAGCATCACTAAGCTTAGCAAAAGTACATCAGAGAGATGGGTGAGACCTAGGTCCAACACTGGTATGACAAGGAGAAGATTAAATAAGATGAAGCTAGTCAAAGAGTTCATGGGAAGGGAGACAGCCAGGCATGACATGAGGCTCCAGTTTGACCTGAACTACCTTTCAAACTCAAATGAATCGAGTTCAACTAGTTCCAACTAATTAATTAAGCTTTAACCGACTGAACTAGGAGACTGGCATTTTTTATCGGATCAATGTGCATGGTCAAACATTACATCAAAATGTTTAATCATGTTCATGCAAAACCAATTCCTCATCCACCCTACCTCTCAATCCTCGAACCTCTTACTCCCTAACATTCTCCTTCAATGGAAGGAACTACCTCTCATTCCTAGAGGATAAAAATATAAATTTAAATCATCTTCATCATGAATCTAACAAATAAACGTGAAACACAAGATAAGACCTTACGAAAACGTAAGCGGCAGAGAACAGCTCGGCAATAACCTTCTTCAAGATCAGGATTGGTTTGTAGCGACCCAATATCTGCAACAAAAAATAGCAAGCAAAAATGACTGTTTGTAATATCAAGACCAATAAATGATCACCTAATAAATATGGTCTCCTGAAAATATATACTAGAATGAATTGAAAATAAATTATAAGCATGGATTAACGCCGATGACAATCAGTGGATTTTGTGATAACAGTCAGCTACTAGTGCAATACTCAACTTCGAAAGTGTGCCCTTGGGAAAAATCTGAATGTATATTCAAAAATGGATTTATAATAATATTCCCTACCATTATGAGCAATACTGGCATTATGGATCAATTTCTTTAGCCTTTTCAATAATGTATCAAGCACATTAGAAATGTTGTCATCTTAGAGAAGGGAAAATTTTACTATCGACCCAGGTGCTAACAAAAAATAATTGCACGGTTCGTACTCAATCAGGTCCACTCTCTTAAGCTTTTCACTACCTCATACATTCGTATGCTAATCAATAATTAACTTCAGGTATCAAGTAAAAAGATATGAGATTTACAAAATTCATTGTGCTTCCCCAGTATGGGTTCTCAAATCCCTACTTGCCACTATTAGCAATATCTGCCAAGACATTAAACCAAATGGCATATTTACATCCCTCTGCTAAACGGCAGCAAAAGATAGACTACATTATGCAGCAATAACCATCATAAAAATGTTAGGACGAGGAAAATAACAAACAGAATACAAGCGTTATGTCAAAGATGGCATCACAAATCTTAAATCCATCCAACGGAAAGAGAAGGAAGACGCAACAAGCTATATATTTTAAAGGTTTTCACAAAAGCCAAATAGAGGATCAAAACTTTGAGGGAACAAAGAAATAGAGATACCATAATAGAGTTTTAACAATCACTAAATTGATGTCATTTCAAGTCCAAGGTATTTTGAGTTGAAAGAAATTAACTACCTCCCTAAGCTTAGTGAAATCGGAGATACATGATAAACTACCAAATAACAAAATATTTAAACTTTTATTTAGCATAAATTTAAGCAACTTTTTCTAAACAAGCAAAAATATAACGGAATCCAACATCAGAAAGATATAAGTTGAATTGCATTGCCACAGGTAGAAGAATTTACATACGACATATAGTATTTCATAACTTACTCAAAACTTATTAACAGCAAAAAAAGGGGCATATTCGAAGAATTGAATTTGTGTGAGGAAAAAGAGAGAAAAAACATAAGAAATCAATATTAAAAAAGTGCAATTGCTACGAATTAATAAAAGTCAAAAGTGAAAGATGGAAAAATTCTAAAAAATATTACTCGGAGAGATTTATCAGGCAGCTTTATCAATCAGTTCAGCTTCATATATGCTTATTCAAAACTTATTAACAGAAATATCTTAAACGAATGCATGAAAAGTTTACAGAAAAAAACAGAAGGTCAAAAATCCACATGCTAAAACAGCTATTAAATGCTAAGAATTAATAAAAGTCAAAAGTGGAAGATGGAAAAATTCTAAAAAATATTACTCGGAGAGATTTATCAGGCAGTTTTATCAATCAGTTCAGCTGCATATATGCTTATTCAAAACTTATTAACAGAAATATCTTAAACGAATGCATGAAAAGTTTACAGAAAAAATAGAAGGTCAAAAATCCACATGCTAAAACAGCTATTAAATGCATAAGGCAAACATTCAACTCTAGAAAAACTTTAAAGGAAAAATGAATAAATATGTCAAAGTCTTAATGCAAACCATCACATAGCTTCTTCCTAGATGCTTGGGCTTTACAAGCACGTAGTTGGCGAGAAACTGTTTCTTCCACAGAATTTAGAAGTGACAAGCACTTTTCATCTCCATCTCCTTTCAAAGGCAAGCTGTAAGCCGTTGTGAAAAAGTCCTCTTCCTATTATTATATGATGAAAAGTTCAATCAATACCACCTTACATCCCTAGCAATAGCAAAACAAAAACATATTTATGAATTGAAGATTGTCTTCAAGCATAGCACATTGAAGTTACTTTAATAAAGACACCTAGAATCAGAAAAAAACAAAGGAAATATGAAAATTGTAAAGACATTACTAACAACAAAAAGCATATTTTTCACAATATAAGTTCCAAATGACTACCAAAATAGTAATTTATTGATCTGCTCATTGTATGAAATTAAACAGGCTTTAATGGCAAAAGGCTTCCTGGAGTCGACATCATATTAATTTAAAAAGAGAAGAATTTGACATGGAAAGAACAAATAAAGTTAATAACAATTTTCTTGCACATATCTGGCTACTTTACTTTACCTTATGAAGTATTTAAGAAAGCATGTTAAAAAATGTTGGCTAATTTTGCTTTAACAAAAATTTGGTTTTGCTTCTTTCAGTATTGTTATATTCTAAATGAAGCATTTTACAGAATTTATCAAAAGCAGCTAGACAAATAACAAACCAATAAGACAATGCAAGTTATGGAAGAAAATGTTACGCCGGCCCAGGAGGGGCCGGCTGGACCGGTCCAGGAGGGACCGGTCCGGGTCTATTCCAGGCGACGGAATAGACCCAGCGGGAGCCAGGCGCTGGGCGGAAATTTGGTGGAGCCCGTTATGGGCTAAATGCAAGATTAGGAGGGAAATATTTTGAACTAAGGGGTGTTTAGGTCATTTGTAATATTCCTTTGTCTTTAATTAGGTGTTTTTGGGAGGGATTGGGATTATCTTGAATTTGAATTGTTTTGAGATCTAGGTTTTGGTGTCTTGGGCTCTTGGCTTCGCCGGAGATCTTTTGGAGAGTTTTTCCTTCCTCTCGAATTGAAGGAAAGTTGTATCTTGCAAGTGCTTTTCATCCGTTATCGAAATAAAAGTGTTTGCATCGTTTTCCTACGCTTTCATCTCAGATTTTTCTTGTATTTGGGCTGTTTTTTCTGCTGTGGACAGCAGTTTTTCCTTGGATCTACTTGATCTTGGTGAGAAACACTTGGAAATCCAAGTGTTTCCTATCAGAAAACAGCACAACACAAACTAAACAATTATCTGGATATTTCTCTTTAACAAATTCAACCAAAAAAAAATTTCTGAGCTTGACTACAAAAATATAAAATATTGATGAACTGATGAGCGGCCGACAAGTACAACAAAAGATGTACAAGCAAAACCATTATTCATAGTGTTCAACAGGATACGTAATCAAACCAATGATTCAAAAAGAAAAATTAAAAAACTTCTAAACAAGCCAGAAGACTGGTAAATCTACAAGAATCAAAACAATGTTTGTTCCAACAATTTTTCACTTTCCTTGCATTTGATGACCATATTCACCTTACAAGTGGTTGGATTAATAGAACAAATGCAATAGCATCTTCCAGTTGGAAACATATCATTTATCTATATATTAAACTTGACAACTCTAAGCCAAAATCAATAATTAAATTGATCAAAGCTGGAAAAATTATCAAACTTGCCTCATGTGTACGTGCATCAGAGACAGCTGTAATAACCACATCACATGTAGAACGCATTATTCTGCAATATGAGTGCAACAATGGGTGTGTGGCTGTTCTCTCAATCCTCAGCAGATAGATACACGAAAAAACAGTCTGAGCCAAGGAATGACCCCTGTGCCATGTTGTCTGCCAAACAAAATGGTGTATCAAAAAACCTACTACAGAAGGCATTAGGAAACGCGTGCTTTATCAGGATAAATATATAATACCATATAGTAGACAATACCTCACATGACAAAAGGTGGTCCATTACATCAATGCAGCGTTGAACATCAACTGTTCTATCTAAACTAAGTGGAATAGGAGCAGCACCACTTTCAATGGCTTCTTCAATGGAGTGAAAACCATTTCGCTCCATTCCAGAATCCATTTTAGGATCCATTATCTACATTAGAACAAAAAATGGAGGGTATTACCACTTAGAAGAAGATTTTAAACAATCCGAATAAATAAGAGAAATAAAAATACAGTTGCAAGTATTGACCATAAATGTTGATGAAAACAGAAGTAACATCTAGGAAAATGAAGAACGCAAAATAAACTATGCAGTACTCTAATCTAAAGCAACCTGGCACATAAATGTAAATATGAGAAAGCATCCAATTTTTATATCTATGATTATAAAAGTAGTTTGTGATTCTTCTCATATTAAATCTTAGTCTTTCATCCTATTCAATCTATTCCAATGATTTCAATCTTAGCCTTTCATTTTTATTTAAATCCTTCATTAATTTAAATTAAATGAGTCATTAAATCATTCGGCTCATTAAATCATTAAGCATCCAACAAATGACTTGATGCCACAACATTTATCTGATGACTTCCTAACTCGGCATTTGCCAACTCGGCTACTTCTTAACTCCGCATTAGCTTAGCAGCATCTCTTCTTAATGTCGTTGAGAATTCATCCTATCAACGTATGTTGAGAAGATAACTTCCCAATGATGTCCATTTTGGATTGCAAATTAAATCCACTGTTATTAGAACTCATGCCTTGGCCTATTAGAAGTCAAAACCTAGCAAAATTTAGATCACCTAAGGACTAACCACCAACAAGTTTGGTCGCCCTGCGGTAGGCCTAAGATTGTTGCATCTCTTTAATATCCCTCTTGTTCTAGTCAATTACATCAAAGACCAAAGTTTACTTAGCATGAAATGTCAATGGAGAACTTATCTACGTTTTTATAAGCTAAGTAAGACCCTAAGAATAGGCAAAAGCAAAAGAGGAATAACATTGAGGAGCTTCCAAGCATTTCTTCTTCCTTCAATTCAACAAAAAAATTCTCTTTTTCCTTCCTATTCTCTCCCTTTTCTCTCTTGGAACAAAGGGCAGAGAGCTAGGATTACTTCCTCCCTGTCATAATCCTCTCAAAGAAGGGCTAAACAACCCAATTTAGGGGTACCTAAGTTCTTCATTGCAGTAGGTATAGGATTCACTTGCCACCCTACTAATTTTTTTCCTGCCAATTCCAACACCTGATCAAGCCCTCCACCCAACGGCCCATCTTTCTACCCACCATCTTGCGTCAATAAGCAAGATCAATAAAACTTTAGAGTCCCTACGATCCACTACCCTCCAAGAAGGCCTAGTATATAGTAACTCTTAAAATAAATAGCTTAAAAAAACCCTAACCTTCGAGCATGTCGACCTGTGGATTAGCATGCCACATAAACTAGCTTACCAACTCACTCATTGATAGCTCACCGCCTGACAACATGTCAACAACTTGCTCGCCAAGCACTCAACTATCAACTTACCCACAAGAAAATATCATAAATTCCTTTTTTTAATTTAAAATATTTATTTAATTTGCAAAAAAATTAGAATCGTTTGAGAAATAGGGAGATCTAGGAAGTTCATTTCTGAAATTTTCCTACACCTTTATGAACAACTTTGAGTGAAAAACAAAGAACTTCTTGCTGTTGACCACTTATTTATCATATTTTGTAAATTTAAACCCCTATAAATTAAGAAAATCGCTTAGTTTGTATCATTGTAGTCTATCCAACGCAGGACATAAATACACAAACACACACACATCACACCATACACTTGGTAGATGGACAGGTTTAAATACTAGGTAAATGGACTAGGGTTTGCACTATACATGCTATCATTGATTAAGAAAATAAATAAATAATTGTTGACCCTTCCCGTATCCAAACAAAAAAAAAAAGAAGAAAAAAAAAATCAAATCCCGCTTACCTGCTCTCTGCCATCGCACGTCGTTCGCACGTCGCAGCCACGACCGAAGTCGCATCCTTGCACGTCGTCGACACGACACTCTCGCGTCGTTAAAAGGGCAAAGGAATGAGGCCTTCGGCCTCTTCCTCACTCTCCTCTCGCGATCTCGCTTACTCTCTCGCTCTTCTCCTCCGAGCCGGATCGGAAGTTACAACGTTTGATCGGAAGCAGCTCGGGAGCTCGCTCGATCCCTCTGGCTGCCCGACTCCGCTCCTTCGACGATATCCCTGGACAGATCGGAAGTTCCGATGCTTTGATCGGAAGCAACGTACAGAGCTCACCCATTGGGGGGCAACTGCCAATGTGGCAACTCTGTCAACCCCTTTTTGGGCAATTGGATCGATTTTTTAAATCAATTTATTATTAGGTGAATTATCTGAATTTATACAATTGCATAATGAAGAACGCAATAACTCGGAAAATATTTTAAAACTAAAAAAGCGGTCTAAAATTAATCCAAACAAATGAGGAGAACATAGAAGATATGGCGCAAGTATAAATCATGAAAACTAATATGTTGGCCTTTGTTGTACAAGTAGGTGGTTAACAAAGTATACACCTAAACATGAAAAATGATAAAGAAAATGAAGATGCAGTTCACATATGTGCAGCTTCTCTAACAATAAAATTACATGAGAACATAATAATTGATAGATGTGACTAGCTAGCTCAATTTAAGTACCTCCAAAGCAGACATGGCAGCAAATAAATTGAAGTTCTCGCCATGAATAAGCTCCCCATCATGAAGATCTACAAAGAGAGAAAGAAAGTAAATTTTAAATGAAAAATAGCTAATCAATCAACATTGTTAACTATGAAGTGATGATTAGTGAATGTTTAAATAATTGGGTACTTTTCAAAAATACTCCTAAATGTTGTAGTAGTATGCATAATTAATAGTACAAAACAATAGATTAAATTCCTATAATGGTCAACAATGTCAATTGTGATACCTGCGAGTTACAACAAAGATCCATGAAATTGAGTATTTATGAGAAGACTATCAATCCTAGAAAAGAAGAACTAGCCTATCCAAACATTGCAAAAGTGCTCCTGTATCCATGCTAAAAAAGGCAAGAAACACTTCAATATTCTTTAGAATGAAAATGTGTGTGTATTGGCTTATATGGTGATATATAGTTGAATTGAGTAGCAATTTTTAAGCTATGCACAACAGTTGAAAAAACAATTCTTAAACTATAATGAGCTAAAACTTGCCTAGCAATATGATGCTTTTGTGTTGTTTTTAAAGAAACTGGCAATTCATAATCCTTTTATTGTATGGAAAAAATTCAACCAAAATCCTAACCATGTACCCCTTCAATAACTTTACAATCATGGAGGTTTTTATTATAAAAAATTGCAAAATTCAAATACGCTATCCTTGGTAAAAGATACATTTTATCACGCTTAATATCCTCTTAATTGAGGATATTCACCTCATTATTTTCTTCCTTTAAAACTCACCATATATACCTATATATAGGCACCTATTTTCAAACAGTTAAATAAATGAATTTTCCCTTATAGAACGTGATATCAAAGCAAAGTTTCCTTTTTCTACCTTCAATACCCTATGACGTGATAATTAGTGAATGCTTAATTAATTGCGTACTTTTCAAAAATACTCCTAAATGTTGTAGTATGATGCATAATTAATAGTACAAAACAATATATTAGATGCCTATAATGGTCAACAATGTCAATTGTGATACTTGCAAGTTATAACAATAAACCATGAAATTGAGTATTTATGAGAAAACTATCAGGCCTAGAAAAGAACAACTAGCTTATCCAAATATTGCAAAAGTGCTCCCGTCTCCAAAACACCTCAATATTCTTTAGATTGCAAATGTGTGTACATTGGCTTATATGGTGATATACAGCTGAATTGAGTAGCAATTTTTAAGCTATGCACAATAGTTGGAAAAGCTAAGCTTAAACTATAAGGAGCTAAAACTTGCCTAGCAATATGATGCTTTTGTGTTGTTTTTAAGGAAACTAGCAATTCATAATCTTTTATTTGCATAGAAAGAATTCAACCAAAATCCTAATGTACCCCCCCTCAATAACTTTACAATCAAGGAGGTATTTATTTTAAAAAATTGCAAAATTCGAATATTCTATCCTTGGTAAAAGATACATTTTATCATGCTTAATATCCTCTTAATTGAGGATAATCACCTCATTATTTTCTTCCTTTAATACTCACCATATATGCCTATATATCGACACTTATTTTCAAACATTAAATAAATGAATTTTCCCTTATAGAACATGATATCGAAGCAAAATTTCCTTTCTCTACCTTCAATCCCACTTCACTAACCTACCCACCATCCTTTACCCAAGCTCCTCACAATTGCTCCAATCTCTCTGCTCAAACAGCCCCAACCCCAATGATTGCCAAGTTCCACAACCCAACCCACTCACATGTACATCTAAACTTACTAGCTCGCCACACCACACACCACCATCAATCTAATAATATTTTGTTTCAATCCAACCTCCAACTCAAACACGCATCAAGATTCCTTCTCTGAGCACTCAAACCTGTATATACCGTTAATTCTGATGCTAATTTCCTACAGCATGCAATCAATTGCCCGCCTCACTCTTGCAACTACACGCATTTGTTGTTTCTCACAAAGTTACAAATAACACCTGCCATTCATAGTGCAAAACCATTCAAAACAGCCCCTAGCCTTCCACCTTATTCTTCACAATGTCCGCCTAGATCAAGAAGGTACAGACAATTTTACATAGTTCAACTTGGACTTCAACAAATTGTTCAAAGTTTAGGATATCCAACTCTTATAATAAAATTATTTCAACAAGCTCTCCATCTATTGTGTTGTTGCACACAAATGTGAACCTACTCCTTTGACATGGTAGCAACATCATAAACATTAACCTCTGCATGGATCAAAGATAGTAGAAATATGATTGTCAAGATCATATATGAACTTTGATTATCACTTTCTCCACAGTTCTCCACTTCTCTCTCCTTCCACAGTCATGATTTACGTCTCTTATTCATGCAAAGAGAAATTCAACTCTCTCCATAGCACCAGAAAATTCTACATCTAGATTCACTCTTACTAGTCCTCAGGTTTTATGCATATCAGATATGTTAATGTCTTAGTACATTTGGAGCATTTCAATACCATTTCGTACATTAAGAGCAATGCGCGTGTATTAATACTCTCATTATAAGTTAGATAACTTTTACATTATTTTCCCCTGAAATTATAGATGATGAAACAAAATGATAAACATTAATGATTGGATGTAGCATGAAAGAAGATGGAAGCATTAACAAATAGCAATTTTGATGAATCTAAAGACACTTTGGTGCTAAGAGATGAGAATGAATGTGCTAGAATAATGGTAAATTACGCGTACAAAATTATAGCACCAAGTGGCCGAATATAATAATATGATATTTAGGCTCAGCAGATCAAGCCTATTAACGTGCTAACTTGGTTTATTAAAGCTTAAAGTGGAAAAATGCAAAAAAAAATGTATATCAATACTATTTTGCGCATTTGAAGCAATGTGTATGCATCAGTGCTTTAATTATCAGTAACCAATTTGTACAATCCTTCCAAATGATGCACATTTAAATGCACCTAACAACAATGGTTTAGGTGTTAGAACAGTACAATTGAAAGGACTCATTACAGCTCAAGTTTCTGAATGTTCCAATGAAACATAAATGGAGTTTATTGCGAACAAAGAATATCCAGAACTTAGAATTAATTGAACAAAGCCTGATTGTATGATGTATAATATTTTTTGTGTAAGATTGATAATTATCAATTACTATTCCTTGTACGTTGAGTATTATCTTGTATCATGATTAGAAATGGAGTAAATAGATAGCGCAAAATAAAAGCTCTCATGCATCACTCAATAAGATTCATAAGATCAGCCCAAATAACTGGTACAAGGCTAATAAAGATGATACTATCTAATTTCCAACAACAACAAAATTGACAAAATCCACAAATATAAGAAGTATTCATTTTCCCCCGTTTCGTTTTACATCTCAATCATCAACTCACGATAAATAAGCTGCCAAAAAGTCCTTCAGATGCATAAAAGGAAAACAGTCAAAATCTAAAAGAGAAAAAGTAAAGTAAATGAAGATGGAAAAAAACGTAAGAGGACATCACGGCGGATATTGCTCACCATTGCATGCGGCGGCGAGCAAGGGGGAGACGTCGGCCCAAACCATTTGCTCTCCGGAAGGGATTGAAGCCGGCACGTCGTTTCCACCTCGGTCCTCCATCGGATTGGATACAGAAACGTTAGGGATTCGGAGATATTCCTCGTCTCGCCTTGTTTGAGATTTCTGCTGGTTCTGCCGTGGTAAAGGGGTTTAGAAGCACCAGTTCAGTTTTTTTTTTTTTTTTTTTAATTCAAATACACTTATAATAATTAATAATTATTGCACTTATAATAGGAAAGAAAAAATGACACTTATAATAGGAAAGAAATGACAATTTGATTATTATAAAATATTTTCATGAATTAAATATGTTTTTGGCTACCCTTATATTATGCACTCATTCTTTACAAGATAATTAAGGTTAATTGTGGCATTAAGAGCATGAGTATGCTTATTAGTTCTAGCATTAATGATTGTTTTATTATTGACAACTATATATAATATATTTTTTTATAAAATAAATATGATAAATAAGTAGCACAAATTTATGGTAATTTTATTGAAAATAAAATCATTTTATCTTGTTTTATATATAATTTATGAAATTTATAAGAAATATGAATTTTCATAAAAGCTTTTTGCACTTAAAAGCTCTTAACATTAAATCCAATAACTTTAAATTTTATTTAAAAGACTTTCATGGAATGGTTCAACATATTTATAATATATCTAAAATCTCACGGTTTTGAGCAAATTTGAGCTAAGAGGCATACGAATTTGATCAAACTATCGATTTCGGCCAACCTAAAGGGGTCGTTAGTCGCAACTCACACATCATGTGACGCCTTCATATAAATCCGCATCAAGAGGGCTAAAGAAGTCTAAATACATCTTTAGTATAGGAGGAGATGTTTTGATCTCCATTTAGTTTATTGAAAATTTGTTTAATATTGAAACCTTTGGAACCTCTACATATCATGGGTTTACGAGAAATTTGCAACATTAAATCGCGCTCAATAAAAATAAACATTTTCTCACATAAAATTGATTGAGTTTCGCTATCATGTTCATGCGATCTATAATAGGTCAAAATTTGTCACATTATTATGCTCTTTCACGATTAACAAACCTATCCCAAGATTGTTGCAAACCACTGACATTTCCTAACAATAGTAAAATTAGATCATATGCTCTTTCATGATTATGCTCCATGAATTTCACACATGTTTGTTACACAAAAAATGTGAATAACATATTTCATGCCCAAAATCAAGGCTAAATTTGGTCACATTGCCTAAAATAGGGAGATAAACACATGACATGTTTATTTTTTAGTTAATTTTTTGCCAAAATAATTACACTCGTTTAATAATCCATACTCAACTTATCATGTATTTCTTAGGTTCACCCCTTTCTAGCCCTAGCATCTTATTGCTTAGATGTTCATGAGTTAATCACCTTCACCAATCGATGTTCATGAGTTAATCACCTTCACCAATCAAATTTACATCGCATGTTCATCTTTGTTAATCGTCTTCATCACATCACATGCTTATATTATCAATCCACCTTGCATCAACATCTTGAAGTTCCTTCATGTAGATTTCTTTATAACATATTTACAGTTCTCTAACACCTTTGCACTAATGTAGCCTAGCATCTCGATCATTTCTTTGTAGTGAGCCCACATGCTCGCACCTATCCCACAACCACCAAAACTCTCGAACCACTTAATTCATATTAGTAGCCAAGCAAAAATATATTCCATATCTTCATTATTTAATTATTAGTGGTCGGCAAGAGCTGCCAATAGTGAGGGCAATCGACAACAGTGGTCGAGTGACGATCGGTATGTGTGACCGGTGACATATGGCATTGGGGGTGTGTATCTATTGGTTGAGATAACTATGGTAATTTGCAATGTATTCAAAACTTAGATAAATCATCCTAATTTTGAGTACATCAAAAAAGACCTATGAGGAGAGTTTTAAATTCATTAAAATTTTACTCTTTTTTTTACTTCATGCCAAACATCAATATTTTCAAAACTCTATCATTTGAAATATCGTGCACCATGTTTAGTCGCAAAGTCATGAGAGTTATAGTTGATAATCTTGGCGGAGATATGTTACAATACAATTCCAATTGTGGGATGCTAAAATATTTGATATGTGTTATTTGGATAAAATCAATAAAAATGAATTAATTTTATTTCGTTTGATTGATTTGATTCAGTCGATCCATAGAGCATTTGTTCAATTATTATCATATTAGCTATAATTTTGACATTATTTGATTTTTAGCAATTTATTCATAAAATTAAAAATCAAATTATATAATATTATTTTATAATTTCTATATTATATATGTTAATTAAATGTCAACTTAGAGTTTATTATAGAATTTATTTGTAGCTAATGATTGTGATATATGAGCTTGATGGTGTTGCAACAAGAATTGAGGGAGATTGCATCTATTTAACAGAATGAACAATGAATAATTAATGGTGGAAGAAGTGGGAATCCACATGTTGGAATAAGCAAGCAATTGTTGATAACTAATATGACAAATATATCATTGTTTTCCCAAAAAATGGATACAAAGTGAAAAGAATACAGTGCATTTGAAATTTATTTTATTTTAAAATATATTAGAGTTATTTCGTTAGGTGTAAAATAAATATACGAGATTTTTTTTAGTGGGTGTTTGCTTCAAAGTAAAATGAAAAAAAAAATGTAAAGCCTAATGGTGGCAATTAATGGTTTGCAAGAGCTGCCAATGGAGAGGGCAACTGACAACGGTGGGCGTGTAGCGGCTAGTAGCTGCGGCAGGCCATAGCAAGCAGTGGGGGCAGGCTGCTATGAGTTGCAATAATGGTGGTGATTTGCAATGTATTCAAAACTTAGCCAAATCAGCTGAGTTTTATGTACATAACAAATAACCAATGAGAGGTTTTGGCCTTCATTAAAATTTTACTCTGCATTCTCTTTGCTTCAAATCAAACACTAATATTTTCTTATTAGTTAAAATTTTGTCATTATTAGAGCATGGGCATCTGCTCATATTGAAATCAACGTTATTCCGCTCTTGGTTAGACGCACGTGAATGACTGTGGGAACATACAAAAAAGAATACATACGAACTATGACCTAGTACTATATATAATGGAATTCATAGAATGTGATTTGCAAAGAGGTGATTTTAGAGTTATACGACTGAATTTATGAGATATAGATTGAAAATAAGTTCACAGATAATAAAAATATTATAAAATTCAAGGGGATATACTAAAAATAAGTGATCAAATCTCATTCTTATAGCAAATCAATGGAGATAAGAATTGAAGAGATCCACATGTTATTACATCTAATTATGATACTAATTGCCTTCATGCTTGATGACTAATAAATTTATCATTACATCTAATAATTTTTAATTCTAAAAGGATATATTTGGGAAAGTTTTCTTACTATTTTGCTATGCATACCACTATTTTGCTAAGCATACCACAATTATAGATTAATTTGGCTATTATTTTCTTTATACTTTTTACAATTTTCTATAAGAAGAAGTTATTTCTTACCACCAGAGTTGTTAGTATATGGTAGCTTTAAAAAAATAATTTTGAATTTTTAAAATAATATCTATTGTAACTTTTAAATTACCTTCCCCACAACCGTTTTGTGATAATCTTTACAAAATGGTTGCTTTTTACAAAAGGATCTATATATTTATTTTTTCTTTGAAGGTCATTTGGTTACTTGAAATTTAATAAACACATTTGAAAAACAATGAAAGGAGAATTACCTTTTGAGTCTTGGCGACCTACCAAAATTATAAAGGGCAATGGTCATACCTTTCATTTTTAAGTATGACAATTGTGTTGAGGATGGTTGTTAGAGCAAACAATTAAAGTGTCAAGAATATTGCTTAGGCCACAACCTACTCCAATGGAACAAAAAAGTTTTAATATTGGTGATATAGATATTAGTGAGGTGTTTGAAAAATAATCCTGCAGGCTTGCTGAGATTTTAGGAATTCATGGAAGAAATATCATTGTTGTTAGGCTTCTGGATTCTCCAAGGAGATTAATGTTCATCTTTTCCTAAGGAGAGTGTCATCCATGTGGCAAGACGATCATTGGAATACACCTCAGATGGTAGAAAAATTAAATATTTTTTCCTGAATTTAGATCTTTTCTACGAACTTCTGATATGATTGATTATTAAGTTCCTCTTATATTGTATAATGGGTCATCTGTTTGTCTTTAGTTTTTTAATTATTTTCTTACAGCATTTAATTTTCTTTGGGTTTTGTTTAACTTCATTGTATTAATTGGAAAGGAATGTAAATGTAAAGATTGAGATGTAGTGAATATTCAAGAAAAAATATCTTAAACTTGTTTGGTGTGATGAGAGAAATGGAGACATGTAACTCAGATTTTCTTTTTAGATTTCACTACTTTGGGATGTTGAAAATTTCAGATGTAAGCAAGAAAAGGTTAATAGATGAATAGATTTTTCTTTTCATTTCATATTCATTCTCTTTCACATCAAAGATACCTTAAGGCTTTTCTCCTCAAGTAAATAACATAAGAAGAAAACGTTTGCACTTGGTTTCTATTAAACCAAGCAATGGGAGCAAAATACATTTCAATGTATTTTCCTTATCATTTTTTAGTTCCGTTTTTGGAATTCTTACATAAAAATGATCCTTAATGTTTCTTGAGAAATTATTCCCTTCCTTTTTCTTCTTGTTTCTTATAGGCTTTCTACCTGTTTGCAGGAATCTGATAAACATAAGAACTCAAACATAAATAATCAATCAAAGGGAGGAAACTTGAGTAGTCTAATTCCCTCTTCATGCTTAGAGATGCTGAAATGTGGGGTAAGAGGTAATCTGATTAGAGAAAAAATATGAAAGGAGAAAATAAATATCATTTCCTTATATGCCCCTTATAACTAGATCTTCCAAGAAGCCGAGAATAACAATTATGGGAAAAGAGCGAGGTTTCGATGATGAAAGCTCATCTTCAGTTGATAGATGTAGTTTTAACAATGGTTCATATAGGCAGGTCGGTCATAAGCTAAGTAAGAGGAATGAATTTCACTCAATTATTGATGATGTTGAATCCTTCTCAAACACTCTAAAAGTACCATTACAGATAAATCATAATTTATACTTTGATTCATACTATTCCACCATGATGTCGTTATATGAACATAGTTCCTTGAATTGGGAGTAAGAGTTATTACTCACAAACCTCCATCGTGATCTCCATATATCAAATGATGAACATTTATCTATACTAAGGCATTTTTTGTCTACTATAAGATGAATAGAACAATACTTTTATTTATTCTTGTAGTCATACATTAACCTTAGCATTACTCAAATTTTTATTTTTTTATTAATTTGTTATTCATATTCTTATGCAATGTAAAGAGGAAGTGAAGTTTTAGTTTCATAGTTCTTAAAAAAGAAAAAAAATGTATAGGCAAATATTTTCTTCCTTAAATTTATTGAAAGCAACGATATGCATTGTCATTTAATTGGTTTTTCTTAAATTTATTGAAAGCAACGATATGCATTGTCATTTAATTGGTTTTTTATACATTCTCAGTTTCATGATCTGATAACTTGATTAAAAAAACAAATTGATCTGATATCTTGATGATTTTATATTGCTAAACTACACTATATGAATAGCTTCTTTGCAATTATTATTAACTTTAAATTCTTCTAGGTTAAATTGTTTTACATGGAGATTTTGAGGTTTATAATGTCCAAGTTCAATATACTGAATGGATAGTTCTGAAAGAGTTTGAGGTTTCATTTGGGACGATTTTCTTACTGCTTCTTAAAGTAGCTTTCTAGCACAAAAAAAATAATTTTTTTTCATTAAAAAGCTGCTTTAGGAAGCTGAAAGAAAACCATCACAAACGAGTCTTGAATCCAAATTGTATAAATCTTCCTTGGTCTCCATTGAATCACTTGCTTTTTATTATTTTTTTAATCTTAACGTGGCTTTGAATTCCTTAAATGTCTGATGGAGAATCATCAACATGTCCACATGTTGACAGTATAATGCTTGCTGCAAAAGCTATTTTCTTCAAAATCCTTTGAATCCAGAAATAACTTTGGCTTTTACTTATTACTATTTTAAATTTTTAGTTGATTGAATTGTTCAATCAACTAAAAACATATAACTCCAAATTTACGCATTAAAAGAAGAATATCAAATTTCAATCGCAAAACTTTAATAACACATTTCAAAGGTTGTTTCAACTCGAATATATAGCACTTACTCTACAATAATTGTGAAATTTGACTTTACATACCTCATGATACCTGAATTTGATCCAATATGCCTATTATTTTTTTTATTGGGAAATATGTCCAAAAGTTCGTTTATGACTAAATACACCCTCTTTATATAAATAGAATTTGGAGGGATTATTGAACAGGCAATCATGCAAACTTTCAATCAAGAAGATACACATCCTTTTCTTTTCGTAGTGCTTTCACATTCTTCAGTGATTATTGTTTGCATGTGATATGTTTGCAACAGTTATGAGGCAGAGTTTTTGTCTCCTTCTCCGATTAACTGTTCCAGACTAATGATATTATATAGTTGGTTGTTTAAATTTGAAATTATTGTTTGCACTCTAAACCCTAAACTCATAAGACATAACGGACCACCTTACTTACTTCAAACCATAATTGAATATGTCTAAAATCTTATTTGAACATTAATCATTGTTCAAATCTAGTTCAAGCCATATTTGTATTTTTGAAGAAGATTCGATTAAGATTGGAACTTTTTTCAATTGAAGTTCAATCATGATTCGAACAACGATCGATCAAAGTTTGAGTAAGATTTAATGGTTCAAACAATATTCTCTATCATAACTTGAATAAGGTTCGAACCAGGTTTGAGCAATATTCGAACAAGATTCGAGTAAGGTTCGCATAATGTTTGAACATTATCCGATCATTATTTGAACTCGATTTGAATTCTAATATTTTGCTCTCACTGTCTCTTCTAAAACCGACACATTTGAGTTGTTGTATTATGTATGTAAATATTCACTCTAATAATATATGTATAGATGCTTTATATTGCTTAGAAAAATTGAGATTAATGATGTTATTGTATTCAGCATAAAAGGCAATGACATAACATTTGATATTCTTCAATTTTACTCTATCTTTTAAAAGTTATACCTAATTGCTTATAATTCACACTGACCATTTTTTTTATCAACTTCTCAATTTATATTTTTGTTATAAGATAACCCTAAGTCGCACTATTTGTGTTAGAAATTTTATTTTATCTCTTGAATTATACAAAGTTACTTTAATCAAAATTTATTATTGGGATGAATATAAAAAAATATTACATTATATTATAGCTATTTATTATATCTCTTGAATTGCACTCTGTTGTGTTATGAATATTTGTCATATTCTTATGTTGTAATATGCTTAAATTAATATATATATATATATATGGTGATGAATATTAAATAAATATCTTATAATTAAAAATAAAATATTTAAAAAAAATGAGCATATTTTCTCGGTACATTGCATAATAAAAAAACTACTAATATATTTCTTTATTCTATAAGTCAATTTTAGAGCTACAAATGAACCGAGTGTTTGACGAGCTACTTGTGACTCTAGACTACAAGAGCTTGTTCATGTTCGTTTAATAAGGTAAGCAAACAAACTTGAACATTTTTTATAAATACTCGATAACTAAATAATCGAGATTGAACAACTTGGCGTTCGATTCATTTATGTTCATGAACAATATCATTTAATATTTGTGAACAACTGAACAAGCTCGTTAAGAAGCTCGAACTAAAAAGCTCGAAAAAATATATTAGAGTTTTAAAAAATACATATTGTTAAATTTAATAACTTAATAATTTATTTTTATTTCCAGCATCCGCCTAAAATCACAATCAACCTCTTATCTGAATAAATATAAGATGAATCATAAATCGTTTGTTCGAAATAAGCTTATTTGGTAGCTAAAAAATACTCATTCGATATTTTCATGAATGAGCTTGTTTGATAATTTAAAAAACTTCGTTAGATATAATAACGTATATACTCGATGTAATCATTTGTTAGAAGGCTCGACAATGCTCGTTTGTTAAGTTACTGTACCTTTAGAAGTAGAACCTGTTTATAACTCGATAAAGCTCGTTTGTTTAAAGCTCGATAAATATGAAACAAATTGAACATGAATTATGCATGAATCGAACATTAGCACCCATTAATTTAAATAAATCAAATTTAACACAAATACAAAATCTGGATCAAATTCAAATCAAATTTGAATAAGCTCATAATAAATGAACTCAAATATGTAATGTTCGACTCGTTTGTAGCACTAGTCAAATATATTCGTCGGTTGTCCGAAAATTTGGATCTGCTCATCCTTTTCGTCAACGCAGAGAGATTGCTTATATTTCAGACCTAATCAATCGATCAGTTCGTGTGCTTAAATTCCCCAAAACGTTAGCGGCAGAGAAACTAGCCTTGCCGCCAATACGGCAGCTTTTCCCATCGACGGTCGACGCCGTCGCTGTCTTACTGCGCACCGAACACTTTCTTTAATTGTGATTTAGGAAGTAGGGTTTCTGATTTTCTGCCCGTTTTAATTTTCTCTACTTTCGTTCAAGCTATTATTTATTGTTCCCATGGCGGATTCTAGCACCCGAAAGATCCGCAACATTTGCATCCTAGCACATGTCGACCATGGAAAAACCACCCTTGCTGACCACCTCATCGCCGCCTATGGTGGCGGCGTGCTCCACCCGAAGCTTGCCGGAAACGTACGTTTCATGGACTACCTCGATGAGGAGCAGCGCCGCGCTATCACCATGAAGAGCTCCTCCATCTCTCTTCTCTTCCGCGACCACTCCATCAACCTCATCGATTCCCCCGGCCACATAGACTTTTGCAGCGAGGTTTCCACCGCCGCCCGCCTTTCCGACGGCGCCCTCATTCTCGTTGATGCTGTCGAAGGTGTTCACATCCAGACCCACGCCGTTCTCCGCCAATCCTGGATCGAAAAGCTCACCCCTTGCCTCGTTCTCAACAAGATCGATCGCCTCATCACCGAACTTAAACTCACCCCGATGGAAGCTTACACCCGCCTGCTGCGCATCATCCACGAGGTAAATAGTATCGTTTCAGCATACAAGTCGGAGAAGTATCTTTCAGATGTCGATTCCTTACTGGCAGGCGCTTCAGACGATGGCGATGGTGAGTACGATCACGAGCTTCTCGAGGATGACGACGAGGACACTTTTCAGCCACAGAAGGGAAACGTGGCGTTCGTTTGCGCCTTGGACGGATGGGGGTTTTGCATCGAACAGTTTGCAGAGTTCTACGCTTCCAAGCTCGGTGCAAGCATGGCCGCCCTGAAGAAAGGATTTTGGGGTCCGAGGTATTTCAACACTAAGAAGATGATGATTGTTGGGAAGAAGGCGATGGAAGGCTTCAGCAGGGATCCGCAGCCGATGTTTGTTCAGTTTGTGCTTAAGCCTTTGTGGCAGGTTTATCAGGCAGCTCTGGATGTGGATGGCGACAAGGACATGCTTCAGAAAGTTATCAAATCCTTCAATTTGTCAGTTCCTTCACGTGAATTGCAAAACAAGGATGCAAAGGCTGTGCTGCAGGCGGTGATGAGGCGTTGGCTTCCGCTCTCTGATACGGTTTTATCAATGGTGATCAAATGCATGCCTGATCCTATCTCAGCCCAGTCTCTAAGGATTTCTAGGTTGCTACCCAAAAGAGACCTGGCTGTTGATGGCAACGCGCATTACTCAGATATTGTGGCTGAGGCGGAGCACGTCAGGAAATGCGTCGAGGCTTGTGATTCTAGTGCAGAGGCTCCCTGTGTTGTCTTTGTTTCAAAGATGTTTGCCATTCCGGCTAAAATGATCCCTCAGAAAGGCCCTAATGGGGAGAAGTTGAATCATTCTTTGGTTGGCGAGGTTGGTGAAGGGGATTTGGATGAGTGTTTCCTTGCGTTTGCAAGGATTTTTAGTGGCGTGCTTAACTGGGGTCAAAAAGTTTTTGTGCTTTCAGCTTTGTATGATCCATCAAAAGTAGATTTGTCACAAAAACATCTGCAGGAAGCTGAGGTTCAGCGCCTGTATCTGATGATGGGCCAAGGTCTGAAACCTGTTTCTAGTGCTAGTGCGGGGAGTGTAGTAGCTATTCAGGGCTTGGGGCAGTATATCTTGAAGAGCGCAACTCTATCTACGGTGAGGAATTGCTGGCCTTTTTCGAGTATGATGTTTCAGGTGTCACCAACTCTTAGAGTGGCCATTGAACCATCTGATCCTGCTAATATGGGTGCACTTATGAGAGGATTGAGACTTCTTAACCGAGCAGATCCTTTTGTTGAAGTTACAGTTTCTTCCAGAGGGGAACAGGTGCTTGCAGCTGCAGGTGAGGTCCATTTGGAGAGGTGTATAAAGGATTTAAAAGAACGATTTGCTAAGGTCAGACTAGAGGTTTCACCTCCGCTTGTCTCTTATAAGGAGACAATAGAAGGAGGGGAAGGTTTTTCATTCTTAGATACTCTAATGATTACTCCCACAAGTACTCAGTATGTTGAGAAAGTTACTGCAAATGGGAAATGTGTGGTTAGAGCTCAAGTTGCAAGACTTCCTAATGCTTTAACTAAAGTTCTTGAAGAAAGTGGAGAAATCCTTGGTGATATAATAGAAGGGAGACCAGTCAAGAAAAGTGGAAGTTTGGGCTATGTTTCTCATGATGATGGTGATCCTGTAGCTGTTCTTAGGAAGCACTTGGTTGATTCATTGGAAAGTGAATTGGAGCTTGATTCTCAGAAGGGTGATAATGATAGACTTGAGAAATACAAGCTACTTTGCAAGAGATTTCTTCAAAGAATCTGGTCACTTGGGCCAAGTCAGGTTGGACCAAATATCCTCCTAGTTCCAGATTCTAAAGCAACTGAAGTTATTCATACAAACAGTGGACAGAGTGGTTTTCGCATACATGGTTCACGTCACTTGTCTGAGAAACTAGGATTTTTAGATTATTCTAGTTCTGATTCAGTTGTGGACACAGATAATGGAGAACCATTAGAAGCAACCAGTTCCATGTATATGGAAGCAGAGGGTCTAAAGAACAGCATTGTTGCAGGTTTTCAATTAGCCACATCTGCAGGGCCTTTATGTGATGAACCTATGTGGGGGTTAGCCTTTTTGGTTGAGTCCTATATTTTTCCGGGCGATTCGGAGAACAAGGATCACCTTGATCAATACGGTATTTTCAGTGGGCAAGTTATGACAGCAGTGAAGGATGCATGTAGGGCAGCTGTGCTTCAAAACAAGCCAAGGCTTGCAGAAGCAATGTACTTTTGTGAGTTGAATACACAAGGAGACTTCTTAAAGAAAATGTATGCGGTTCTTTCAAGGAGGCGATCTAGAGTGTTGAAAGAAGAGATGCAAGAAGGCTCCCCACTTTTTACAGTTCATGCTTATGTTCCTGTAGCTGAAAGTTTTGGCTTTGCAGATGAGCTTAGGAAGTCAACTGGAGCTGCTGCGAGTGCTTTACTTGTTCTCAGCCACTGGGAGGTGCTGCCAGAAGATCCTTTTTTTGTCCCAAAAACAGAGGAAGAGATGGAAGAATATGGAGATGGTTCAAGTGTCCTTCCCAACATGGCAAGAAAGCTTATTAATGAAGTGAGGAGAAGGAAAGGACTTCATGTGGAGGAAAAAGTTGTCCAGCACGCGACAAAGCAGAGAACACTAGCCAGAAAGGTTTAATTGGTTCTTGTGAGTTGAATAAATCAGTTTTACATGTATCTTAATACTTAGTTTTATTTTTTCTTAAATTATAGGATTTAGAGATGAGTTATGCCTATGTAAAGGTCAATTTTTGGAATATTCTCATACTCATTATTCTATTGTATCAATTTGATAACTGATGGTTTGTGTAGCAATATGGTTATCATAAATGAACACCTTTTGATTTTGCTAGCATCGACCATCAAAATGTCTCAAACATAAATTCGTTTTTATATTGTTGTTTGTTGTTGTTTTTTGGCAGGGAGTCTGGAACTTGTGGCCTTTTAACTTTGGTTTGGTGAAGGATTCACTGTTTTCTTTCCATGTTTTTAGGCAGTTATTAATTATGCATATGCTATTTGTGTCAATTAGATCATTGATATTTTAATCATCTGTGTATCTAAACCTATCAGTTATTCACAATGTCGATGATAAAATTGAGAATTGAACCAGCAAACACAAACTTTTTATATTCTTTATTTAATGCAGCCCATGGGACTGACACGTGGAAGTATGATATAGTGGATCGATGGAAGAAAGGTTATACTAGGAAGAACACACAAAATCGGAGAACAAATACAAGCTCAAGGCTCAAAAGAATATAATATTCTTCATGCCCATTCTTACACCTAACCCTGGCTATTGATAAAACAAAATAAAACATTCTAGAAATTAAAGACATGCTAGACTAAAGCTCTATTATAACTAAGATTTACCACATCATAGAGCTCGACTCCGTCAAGATGTTAGTAGTTAGTGCATGCTGGGAGTGACGTAGGTGTAGAAATCATAACCAATCCTCTTGATCAAAGATTTTTCATCTTCGATGCATAATTGCAAGCTTATTTAGACGAGTACAGGTTTCCAATGCCTCAGCCAATGTAATTTCCAATGAATCAACTAAATCTCCCTCCCAAAGGCCCAACCTACAGACCTTGTAGGCATCATATCCTGCTGCTCTCAACCCTTCTCACAGCCATGTCTCTTAACCAGAAACAATGTCAACTGAACTCATGTCTTTAAGTAATGTCTCAGCAGAACCGGACCTCTCAAACACAATAACAACACAGGTCTTATCGACAAAGTGAACATCAAAATCTCCTGCAAAAAGTGGATGAATTTACCAGAGACAATGTTTTAGCTCCACAGTAGAAAGTTGCACCACCAAAGCCCATAGAAAGAGTATGTTATCTGTGCTTACTCTCCTGGTAGTATCAATCCGCCAACCAGTCTCATCATCATTACCAGGTTCATGAAATGTTAGAAATGTTGGATTGAAAATGTTTGCATAATCTTCAATTGATTTGGTGCGGTCGAGTGCAGATCAGCTTGAAGGAGCATTCATTAACAACATATTCAGCTTAGCAAACAAAATTGCTAACTTAAGAACATTGTTTCCATGGCTCTTGTTCCCATCTTCAACTTGCTCAGGAACTTCAAGTTCTATTGGCGCAAAATACTATCTTTTTAAATAACTAAGGGCACTAGGGATATTTTTGCCTTTTCTTAAAGGTCCAAACTCCAACAAATGATTAAGATCAATCACATTGGTGAATAGCAACCTCAACGAGCACAAGAGTTCTGACACCGTTTCAGGTAACCGGTCGAGAAATTTCTCATGAATGAAGGTAAAATCATGGAGGCAGTTGTGGGAAACAATTGTTTTGTGAGAACTTGAGATGAAATCAATGACTTGACGGAATCCCCAGCGTTTGAGATTCTGCTCATCTTCAAGATTCTAAAGTTCTGTCAAGAGAATCTTCTTATTCTCTTATGAGCTGGTTACACAATACACACTAGTACACTACCTTGGTATGTCCTCCATTATCTGGGATAAGTACAAGTATTAGGTCATCAAAGATCTGTTCCACAATCTCAAAAACTAACTGAGCCTGCTTTTCACTGCAGATGTCTACTCTCATGCCTGGCCTTGAACCATAAGCTTCCCTAGCTAATACGAGTTTCCTCAGGGATTGAACACAAAACCCATGTTTTGTTTAGCTAGTATCTTTAATTGCTTTCCTTCAGTGATTAGCCCTTGACTTCATTCTTTCCTTGAAATTGAATCGGCTACAAATGGATTTTGTGAAGTAACCGTATGCATCCATGATTTAGACTCTCTCTCTCTAGCCAAGGCTTCTTCTACTCTTTGAACTGCGGAACGAGAAGGGGCAGACAGTGAACCGGAGGCACTTGAATATTTCAGCGCGAGCTTTGATTTGAGATAGGCGGTCTTGAAAGTGTCAACGGGGAGAACCAGACGCCATGGATGGCGGAGAGAAGAGGTGATGTGGGAGGCGGGCTGGGGATAGATTGCACGGACTGTTGATCCTTTGAATTCTTCTTCTCTCCATTAGCTTCTTCCTCAACTGAGCAGAACACAGGCACAAATCATGCATGAGCACGAGGTAGGGCGTGGGATCGCGGAAGCGCAGTGGCAGCAAAAGCGGGAGCATATTGGGGGTGGGGGCATAATCACGTTGGAGCCAAGCCAACGTGTGGACGCTCTGCAGGAGCAGATGAGCAAAGGCATTGATGTGGTTGCCAACGTGCGTATTCTCTCCACAGAACGAATGAAATTAGAATATAAATCATCTAATCGATCAAATGATGCATTCACTTTGGTTGCCTAAAAGGCTTTATGGCTTCGATCGTTATCAACAACTTATCTTCTTCTGTAGTCTGTCATTGTTCACAAGTTCTAGACTCTGTAACCAACTGATGTAGTGGATTGATGGAAGAAAGTATATGCTAAGGAACACAAAACCAAAGAACAAACACAAGCTTAATGCTCAAAAGAATATAATATTCATGTCACTTCTTACACCTAACCTTAGCTTTTGATAAAGCAAATAGAACATTCTAGAAATTAAAGATATAATAGACCTAAGCTCTATTATAAGTTTATAACTAAGATGTTTCACATAAAGCATACCTATATTTGGCTGTTGTTGACCTCGATTTTGCCCAAATACGGGCATAGTGGACTGAGTTGACCAAGTCAACTTTTGACTTGGTCAACCCAAGCCTTAATGGGTCAAAATTGACCCATTAAGCCCTTTTAAAAGCCCAAATCAATTCCAATCTTTTTCATGGCTCGATCCTTACTCCTCATTGACCTAATTGACTTGGTCAAATAGAGCCGTTAATAGGTCATTACGACCTATTATAGCCCAATTAAAGCCCATTCATTGCTCTAATCATCTCCCATTGATTCCAAATTCAAAATCCCGTGGGATTCAGTGAGATTTCCCTCCTAATTGCCCTTAGATTCGATCCGAGCCGTTGGTGATAGGGTTGGGACGTTTAAATAGCCAAATAGGTTTAGAGAGGGGGATTTTTCTTCTTGCTCGTGCTCTAGGCCTCCTTTTGCTTTGAGATTTCTTGCAAGGACTCCTAGAGACTTACACCTTCATTCCCGATCAGATCCCGGCCACCCCAGGCCGCCGGTGACGAGATTCCGGCGACCTAAGGCCAAATCCATCCAAAGCTTTGATCCAGGCGATCCAGAGCTCGTTTGATCGAGGTTTCAAGAGGAAAAATATATGAGGATAGTCTACAAGCTCAACCGTGTCGAAGATTTGGAGATCGGACGGTGAAATTTCTTAAAAAAACCCTTAGAATAGATCAATCACTTCGAGTTAAATAGGTTTTCTATTAGTTGATTATTTTCCGAACGGAGACTTCCCCACGATTTCTGTTCATACCTAGGACACATGTTTAAAATTTCGTGAAATTCGGTTGAGAATCGAGGGAGAACGAGACATTTTTGTGTTTAGGGTTTCGGTCCGGTTCCGCCTGCAGGCTGAGCGAATCTCAGCCGTCGATTTCCAGATTGACGGCGCCGATCTTGCCCGTACGCGGTCTGGACTGACCGCGGGCCATTGTCCACGGTTGCCGCGTGTCACGTGGCACGATCCCCGCCCTCCATCTGAGCCGCGCGGATCCAACGACGGGCAGCGGGCGCTGACGTGGTTAAGTGCTGCTGATTACGGCATCAATCCACAATCATTGGCGGCGGCGGCGCTAATGATTGGCGCGATTCCGCGGTCCAACCCGCAGCCGTCACTTGTCACCCCGGCCCCGCCGCCGCCTTTCCTTAATAAATAAATTTTGAACGTATTTGAATTCTGCACACTTTAAAGTTGGTTTTGCTCAAGAATTTTTGATTTGTCTGCAGTTATGTTCAAAACAGCAAAATAGCACTATTTTGAAATTATTTAATTATAGTCTTTAAACTTTGAAATTGCGTAACTCCTTCGTTTTAAGTCCGCTATCGATGCATAGTACCTTGTTTTGGGTCTATTTTGAATTCTGCATAGTTTAAGACTATTTTTAGATAAAAATTATGTTTATATTTCTGTTCTTCCAAAAACAGTAAAACAGCACTATTTCAAAATATCCTATTTTTGTATTTAAACTTCGGGAATTCATATCTTTTCCGTTTTAAATCGGATTTTGGCGTGCGACCCCTTGTTCTTTTCAGAAAAATGTGAATTTTATTTTGACTATGGTTTCAGTGGCTGGTTTTGGCTTTTCTGGTAGACTTCTGCTTTGATTTGATTATTTGGGTATTTTGATATTATTTTTATAATCAGTATAATATTTATTTTCAGGATACAAACTATTTTCAGATCGTTTTGAAACCTCGGTTGGGTGGTCAGTGGGTCCCCCTATATCTATGCATTATGAATTGACTCACATGTCCTCTTACCGGTGGTCTCACCACCAAATAGCACCATTGGTAAACAGTTATAATCGAGACCCTCTAAACTGGGTGGTTTTTTCACGAAATGGCATTATTACATTGTGGTCATGGTCAAAGCTTGCATGTTCCCCAATGGCGCCAAATTATTGAGCAATGAATTAATATGATGTGATTGATAGGGCACAAAACCCTTTGTTAGCTAAGGTGTATTCAAAGTTGTCCCCTTGGACAAATATTCACCCCATGCTTACAAGGTACCCTTGGAGGAAGTAACCTATGACTGTCGGCAATGGACCTTTTGTTAGGTTTGGTTGACTACCACTCTGACTAAGTAGACTAGGGACCATGATAACCCGGGACGATGGAACCATGAGATCTTGATTGGGTTCATCATCATTCCCCCCCAACATCCAATTTAAGTGCAAGCAACAAACATCATAGAAGAAACAACAAAAGAGGAGAGGGCAAAAGCCAACCGAGCTCAGTCAT